GATTCTGGGTGCCGTGAAATCCTTTGTTGTGACTCTCGTGAAGCCCTGGGTGAGGCACAGCACTGCTCAGGGCAGCAAAGGGCTCTTGGCAGAGTTACAGGGGTGCTCAAACTCACTCAAAGTAGGCTTCTAGTCAGTAGATATAAACACGTGTAAATATCATTAATAAAAACCTGCTGGTTTTATATATTCATCTCTGATGCATATCAATCTGCAAATCACTTTAATAGTGTTCTTTTCAGGTGAAGTAGTTCTTCTGTGGTTATAGCCCCTTTTTGAGTGGATTAGGAAAATCAAGTTTAATCTTAACAATTTAATCTTAACAGGAATTAGATCCAAACTAGAGCAAGCTCAGAGTCCAAACTGCAGCTCCTTGGCTGGGGATGTTGTTGGGAACAGCATCTGCTTTGTGTCACAGGTTTAGCTGCACTCACCTGCTGTGAGGATGGACAGCGAGGTGCAGAGGGATGGCAGGATCCTGGATTTGATCGATGACGCGTGGAGGGAAGATAAATTGCCCTACGAGGACGTGGCTATCCCTCTGGTAGGTGAATTGCTGCTTATCAATCTGAGTTAAGGCTGCTGTGTTTATCTCAGCCCCTTCCAAGAAACAGCACAGGGTATTGCTTGTGGTGCAGCTGATTTGTACAAAGGGCTCCTGGGATGGATCTGACTCTTTCCTTGCCATATATGCCAGTCACTCCTGTGTGCATGAGGACTTGGATGTTTCTGTCCCCCTTCCCCTGACCAGTTATTGAATCTTCTCAGAACTGGAGTGCCCTCCCCTTCACACCGTTTTGGGTTTGGCATCAGGGAGAAGTTCTGGTTTGGAGAACAGAGATGATCAGTCTCACGCTGACAGCTGCAGTCTTGGTTACACTTTATTAACAACCTCCTGAAACTCCATTAAAAGAAGCTGAAAAATTTTCGTACCTGTTTCCAGTCAGTCTTTTCCAGATCCAGCATTGCTGTTGGCAGTTCAAGGACAGCAGTGAATGCACTGGCACCTGCAGTGCCATGTCCAAGGCATGGCAGCTGTCCTTTCATCCAGGGCACAGCTGCAGGGTGGGAGAGGGGCAGCGGGGGAAAAGCTACTGCTGATCCCACAAAGCCCAGAGCTGAAGCTTCAGATCTCCCACTCTGAAACCTTTCCTTAGCTACTTTGAAACTTCCAGGGAAGCAGGAGGTAGCTGAGGATTTTCCCTTTCCTTGTTCTCTCCGGTGCACAAGCTTTACCCTGGCTAGCACTGACAAGGCAGTTGTGGGGATCATGGGGTGTTGGTCTCCTTCAGCATAGACACATTTCCAAATTGTGACGTGGCTCAAGCTTTAGCCTTTCCACCACTGGCTTTTCAGAGAGGACAAGGAGCAGCTGCACAACCCTAAAATCCATATATACAGCACACACGTTTTTCTGCCAAGAGCTGGGTTTGAGGGAGGGATCTTGCAGAACTGTAATTGTCAGATAAAAGAGCCCAAACCCCCTATTGCTTGGGATAACATTTATAAGGCAGGCTGAGTATTATAAACTGGTTCCTTACTGACATTTGCCTTTACCTTGAGTCCAAACATTACTGTTTCTTCCCTTACAGCCACCTCTTGGCCTACTTACAGTCACATACAGATGGCAGCCCCAGAGCAGGAAGCCTCACCAACTAACAATAGAAAGAAAGGCCTGGCTGTGGATATAAAGATTCCCAGAGATGAGATTGCCTCTGATCACATGGGAAAAGTAGCACGAATTCACAGGAGACTTGCTCAGGAGCACTGTAAAGGAGCAAACAGAATGGCTGTGAAGTGCTCTTTGAGCCTGTCCTGAGCATTTGCTCCAGTGCCCACTTGAGAGATTCCTGGGAACTCAAATGGGCTCGAATCATACACTGTTTTCAAAACTGAAACGTTTTAGTTAGCTCATGCTGGGATTTCCAGAGATCTAGAACTCAGAATTCCTGCCCAAATGGTATCTGGCAGAATAGCACTCACTCAGTGTGACTGCAGCAGTACAGCAACACAGAGAACAAATAATAGAAGGGAGTTCTGACTTCTGGTGTTGCTCCAGCACAGCCACACCTGAGTCCAGCACACAGAGAGGAAGGATTTCTCACCTGCCATGGGAATGAAACACGTTACAGAACCAGTTGTCTTAATAACAGCTATAATAACTGCAGTATCTGTATTCTTGCCAACAGCAGAAGCAGCACATTGCAAACAAGCAGTGGAATAATTGCATTGCACTGTTATTTACTTACTTTGCATTTGCTATATATTCTCCTTCGCTGTGTGTGCAGTCTGAGTGTATAGCAAGGCCCCAGGGTCCTGGAAAACCAATTTACCTTTCAGATTAAGCACCATATTCATGTGAAAAGAATATTGTTCATAACGGGGCCCAGTAATATTTTTAAGTGGATCAGTATGTATGATATTTATTGTTCAGATGCACCCTCTGGTCTCGTTTCTATTTATCCATACAAAGCCTTAACAACCTGCTGCTTTCAGGAAGTATATTTTGTGTGGAATGCATTGTACCTCTATTTTGTTCTCAGAATGAGCTCCCTGAACCAGAGCAAGACAACGGTGGCACCACCGAGTCTGTGAAAGAGCAAGAAATGAAGTGGACAGATTTGGCTCTCCACTATCTGCATGAAAACGTTCCACCCACGGGAAACTAGTGAGTCAGTGAGATTTCATGCAGCAGATGCATGAATGCCACATGAAAATATTTTTCAGCTGACCGCTGTTGTCAGAAGCTGCTCTAAGGAAGAAACAGCATTCCTGAAACATTTGGATTCCAGCAGTGGTTCTGCTCACAGCGACCAGTTTAAAATGCTTCTCTAATGAGTGTGAAATAGCAGAGGCTCTCTGACACCCAGAGCTAAGAGCAGAATGTTTCACTTATTTATTTCATTTTTTCTGTTAAATTTTTCTGAAGTTGGTGCCAATTCTGATCTTCAGTGTTTTCTACACATGATTAAAAAGTAGTTTTTACTGTCTCGAGTTGTTAGTGATTTCAAAGCTCGCAATGAGATCATTGTCTAGAGTTCAGTGCAGAAACCCAAAGAGCTGTGAGTTGTTACCATCTTCCACTAGTGTGTGGCTGAGGAAGTTGTGTGGGGCAGGTGTGAAAGGTTGGTCAACAGATCCAAGAGCTGGAAGTGACCTGTAAACACAGGTGGTTACTTGAACTCCTCACCTCAGGATCTGATGGTGGAGATGGAGAGCATGTCCTGTGCTGACCTCCTGGGAATGTTTGCCAACACACACACCATGAACAGACAGTCTAATTTATGCTAAAATGGTGCTTACTCAAAATCATGGTCTTTAGAGGGATGATTGAGAGTTCCAAGGAAGAACCTGCCAGTCCCAGGGTATTGCCAGTCCCAACCTATTGAAATGAGAGGCACTTGGATGAGCTACCTCAGAAGGGAAATGGAAATCCAAGGAAAGAAACAAGTAGAGCTTAGCTTCAGGCAATAAGTTGTTACCTCTTTTTGTGCTGAGAAGAAAGGCAAGGCCCTCTTGATTTATCCCATTTTATCTCTGATTCACAGATGTCCTTTGCAACAGGTAAAAGCCTTCTGTTCATCTTCGTGCTTCACTGTTGGACTGATTCTGTCTCACCATTGGCAGAACTTCTTGCTAAGGAGAAAATATTTTGACAGAGTTTAGGATTACTGGTGGGGGTGAGAAAGGAACTGGAAGGAAAACAATGTTTAAATTATATTCTTTTGCCAGTGCAGCAGAAAAAGCACTGTCCTGGACTTCCAGACTCCACAGAAGTTTTTGAGTGTCTTTTCTCAATGTTTATCCTCTCCAAAATAACAAACCCCAGCTTTTGCCTGGGTGATCCGTGCCTGCACCAGACAAGCAGCACACACTTGTCTGAACAGGAAGGAGCTGCAGACAGGCAGCAGGAAGAGTTAGGGATTAACCCAAGAATTAGCAAAGTCAAAAAGCTTAGTTTGCACAGCATGGACCAAAGAACCAGCTATGCAGCTGGGAGCTGTAATAGCTCAGCTCCTCGTTGGATCATCACCAGGAGGAAAAAGCAGAGCCTGTGCTTAATGAGGGAGTTCTGATCCTCCCCAGGTTCCCTTTCCCTCGCCTACAGTTAGAAGAATTTGCTAAGAAAACCTCAGGCAAAGCTACCACCCAGTTTCTATCCAGCAGCCATCCCTGCTCTCTCTTCCCCTCCTCTCTCACCCCTTTTCAAGCTCCCAACCACCCTTTTCTTCCCAATTTTGCCACTATATCTTCCAGCTTCAATGTCAGACTTCCTTTCCTGCCCCTGGCAGTTGTCTTTGCTTAGCTATCTTCTTCCTCCCATCCATCAAGGAAAGAAAAAGCCTTTCTTACTTGAATTTGTGATGTTCCAGCAGGTCTTCGAGAAAATGTGGTGGGAATGCCAGTTGTATGAGTGTCATCCAAGGCAGCAGAAGCTTGGGAGCCCAATGGAGAGCCAGACTGCCCCAAGTACCTTCCCTTTGTCCCACATAGTGCCGTGCACCTGCCTCCTGCCTGAGGGGACAGGGCTTTGTGGGTTAGAAGGGACTCTAGAGAGCAGGAGGAACATGGGAGATTAGGGATCATCGTGAACTTTCCAAAGGCAGGGCCCTGGGAAACCAAGCACTGGCCCTGCCCAGATGCTTATCAGACTTGCAGTGACACCTACGATCCTCTTGACATTCTTTGCAAAAGACAACCAGGCAATAATTTCCTTAGTTCCAACACAGTGTAGTCAAATTGCTGCTTACAGCAGTGATACAAACCCATTTGTGTCTTTGATTAGTCATCTCCCAGGACAAACTATGTCTAAATTAAGGAAACCTGTTAGAATAGAAAGTGCCCCACCTTTTTAAGAAGAAGCTTCAGTTGTATAACTAAAGACTGGTCTTCATTTCTTGGCTGGTAACTTCCTGCTTTCACCACACCTACTGGGATAGGCAGAAAAAAAAAAGGGAGCAAGTTGCTGTCAGAACCAGCAGACACATGCCAAAGAAATTGTGGGATCCTTAAAGTCTCTTACCCATAGAAGCTCCATGTGGAAGTCCATATGCTGAGGCTGTGTGTTGTGTTCATCTACCTTTTGCACGGGGTGAAAGCAGGTAAGAAATCAACCATTTGTTTTGAATGTTTTTTGTCAAATATAACACACTGTGCTTTACAGAAACATGACTGTGTCTGCCCTATGCATTACAGTTACTGTGTAGGGTTTCTCACTAACATTATTTATTTCAGCAAAGCAAATTATACTGGTTACATGGATGGAGTCAGTTCTAAGAGTTTCAAATGTAAAACCAGAAGTATTTTTTATATTATCTTTTCCTCCCTTTGCAAACATTTCTCTTATATAAGTACTATCCATCTGCACTGAAAATGTCATTGGAAATCTTCAGAGAATAATGATTTCTTTTCAGGGGTGTCGTGTACGACAGGGGCGAAGGATGAATTACCATTTATGAACAGTAAGCTCCATTTGATATCCTCACAGCCCTCCAAGAATCAACCTGTGTAACAATAAACAAACGTACTGCCTTGTGTTAGCATACACATGGGAGCAAGTCAAGTTACAGCTCTCTGCTTTGTAGGGAAAACAAACAGGGTTAAAAAAAACAGTATTCTTATAATACTAACTTGTATTTCATCGGGTCCTCTGGAGTAATCTCGGGGTCACGTTTTGCTTAGTTTGTTTAATGCGCTGTAGGAAATGTACTCGCAAGAAGTGGGGAAAAAGAGTTATGTGAAAAGGCAGGAGGAAACCAGGGAGCTATTGAGGACCAGTTTAAGAGGTGGAGGGCACACTCTCTGTGGGGAAGCGATGGAAATCTTCACCAACACTCCTGAGATTCACGTCATGGTTGTGAAGTCTGCTGAAAGGGGGGAGTTATTGTCGATGGTTAAGAGCAGTCTGGTGAAACACACTGTACAGAGCCCAGGCAAGGTGGCACAGTGGCCAGAGAGCCTGCAGACAGACAGAGAAGCACCTCTGTGACCCAAGGGCCACAGCTGAGACAAGTGACCACTGACCCACTGATGTGAAAAAACTGTTGGAACTTCCCTTTGCAAGAGGACAGACTGGTGGAGGCAAAAAAAACTTGGCTGCTCTTCTATTCATGCAGCCAGCTCAGGACCACAGCCCCAACACCACAGTGGCAAACCCTGCCTGTCCAAGGCCAGGTTGGACAGGGCTTGGAGCAACCTGGTCTGGTGGAAGGTGTCCCTGCCCATGGCAGGGGGTGGCACTGGATGAGCTTTGAGGTCCCTTCCAACTCAAACCATTCTATGATTCTATCATGATATATACTTATACATGTAAGTTCAGAACCAGGTTATTTTGAAGGTGCCTCTCCTGCTGCAATAGCACCTTGGAGGCTGATCTCAAGCTCAAGACCAAAGATGTCCAGCTCCCAGGCAGGGACATGGATTTCACACGTTTTTATGCCCCCTGCTACAGGTGCTGGAACCTCAGAGCACCTTGCCCAGCACACAAGTGTTTTGCCCCTATTTTACATATCAGAAAACTGAGCAGGAGAATTTGAATTGCCAGAGTCTGCCTAGCAAGCTAATGGCCAAGGCAGGGCTGGGGGTGAGCTAATGGCATGCTGGGTTAATTGCCACATTCACTCACCTTTCCTGGAGGGAAAGTTAAGTACAGTGCCAGAGTGTAACTTTCCACCTCACTTATTTGTTTGCAGACTTAATCTCAATAAGCCACTTACCCCAATCATCTGGGAGTTTCAAAGACACTTCCAGCCATTTGGGTAGGAGTCACTGTGCTCATCGGAAGGAAGAGCAAAGCCAGGATAACTGGCCATCCTGATGTGTCAGGATGAGGCTGAGATGGGCACCATCCTGCCAGAAGAGAAGCCAGCAGGTTTTCTCCCCCCTGTAATAATATTATATATTATAATCCTGATCTGCTTTTAATAATCAAACCAGAATCAATTCGTGTCAGGTATCAGCAAATGCTGACCAGCTCTTTGAAAGCTCCTCCGTACCAGGAGGTTTAGGCTATTCTGATGACAAACACACTGCTCCTCTGGGCAAGTCTCAGCACAGGGCAGGAGATACAGACACAAATTAAGCAATCAGTGCAATCTTGCACCATATAGAAGTAATTCTTGCCTGGCATTTCTGCCTCTATTACTACAGCTTCAGTGGCGGTAAAGATGATTAACAACACCATATAATACTGCTATACAATAACTAAAACAATGCCTAGTTATTAGTAAAACCAAGATAGTTGTATTTTTTTATGCTGCAGTAGCACCTAGAGGACAGTTGCTGAGTCTCACTGTGTGAGCTGGCATAGATCAGCAGAAATGTGAGCTTTCCTCTGCCATTCCTCTGAGATCTCCACAGCAGCAGTGCCACAGGAGAGCTCCTGCTGCTCTTTCACTGGAGCTTCTTGGCACTGGCTGGCCAGGAGACAGCCACCAGGTGATCCTTCCTCTTGGGAGCAGGGCCCAGAGCCACCCTGCCCCTGGGAGCCCTGGGGGAAGCATTAAGGAGCCAGAACACCCCCCATTCAAAGGCTCCTGGTTTCAACCCACGTTCAGTGGGCCTGGCTGAGGGCTCATTTCCCACCACTCCTGTCCCACTGTTCATATGGTACCACAGGCTTTATACAGTAAGGACTCCATGGATTTCAGATGTTAAAATTTATGGTAGCAATTTAAAATATTCAGTTGGATTTAACTGCAACATCCTTTTAGCCTATTAACTTTTATTTCTGGAGCTCCTGGGGCTTCTACAGAGTAATTAGCAGAACTATGGCAACTGAGCAGATTGTTTTATGTGCTGGGCACATAGTATTTATATCACTCTCATGCTCCTGCTTTCCAAAGGAGGAGAGAAGGGAAAGTGGCTCATAGAAACTGTAAGAGTTTCATCATATAGAAGTTAAAATGCACAGAGCATTGGAGATTTATTAGAGCACAATTAGGTTACAGCTGCAGGTCTTCTAAACTCTTCTACCCACTGCACAGCCTTTTAAGCAACAAAGATCAGGAAGATTCCTCTAGGAATTGCAGCCTGAAAAATTGCTGCAGCCCAGGGTATATGTGTGAGAGACACTCTCCCCCACAATGTTCTTCAATAAGATTAAAAGGATTTGGGGGAAAGGACTGTGAGCCAGGAAGAGGCTACTAAACCTGGGAGGGCCTTCGTAAGCAGCATCTGTCTGGAGACAGTTGTTCCATTCCCTGTCAGTGCCCTGTTGGAGGTTGTACTGGGAAATAAAGGCTCAGTTGGTGCTCTGCTGGAAAAGCAGGGCACAAAGACAGGCTTTCCAAAGGCACAGACCATCCCATGGAGCAGCACTTACACCCAATTTAGTTACTCCTCAGCTGTGTACACAGCACCATCCGTGACATCCCACGCAGCCCAAGGGTGCCCATTTTGCAGTCAGGAATAGCAGGGTGCATCTGCACACACAAATGAAGCACTGAGCTGCCCCTCACACGGGAAATCCTCTGTGGCTGGGCAGCTCCAGGCTGGAGGTACAAACCAGCCCCGAGGACACCCATTTACCCTCGGGCCTGTCAGAGCACCTGGGTGTGCTCCCAAACCAGCACAGCAACCATCCCGCTTGTCAGTCACTTCCTCACACTACTGGGATTTTTGGAGAGAGGCCATGCCATCTCCCAGCTGCCTGTGGAAGCAGGACTGTCTTGTTTCAGGGAATGCTGCTCCAAGAAGGTGCACTTGCTGTCGTTGTTCCAACATGGCAAGAAAACCTATGTTCCAAGGTAACTGCAGTCATGAACATGAGGAGAGGAGACAGGAGAGAAGCAGCCCTGGCTCAGACACGTCACAACACACGTCCCTGCCCCTGTGCAGGGCTGCCAGGTGGAAGCAAATGCACCGGGGCTACACTCCATTTGCCACCCTGTGCTCTTTTCAGATCCTGGGGAGACATGTCCTGCATTCACAGCCCTCGGCTTCTGGAGTGCTTTGATAGGGACAGAGCTGAAAGTGAAGCTGCTGCTCTACACCAGGCAGAACCCAACCTGTGCCAAGGAGCTCCACTCAGCAACCTCCAAGTACCTCAATGTGACCAAGAAAACCACCTTCATCGTCCACGGGTACCGGTTCACAGGCTCTGCCCCCATCTGGATCCCCGACCTGGTGCATCTCCTGCTTTCTGCAGAGGACATGAACATCATCCTCGTGGACTGGAATCAGGGGGCAACAACCCTCATCTACAATAATGCTTCCAGAAAGTGCAAAAGAGTTGCCGAGATTCTGAAGAAACTTATTGATGAAATGCTGGTAAGTTGGACGTTCACACTATGATATAGTCATTAAGGCACAGTATGTAAAGGGCACAAAGGAAGTGTTTAAAACCAGCAGGATGTCTGGGAATAGAAACTCCTAAAAGGAATACATTAATTTTTGCAGCTATCCTGCAGTGCCAAGTTGTACCCTTGGACTTGGTACAATGGTATTTTGTTGCAATATTCAGTTTACACTCTGTCTCTCCCTTTCTGGGTACAAAACTCTACAGACATGTTTTCCTACACACAGAAACTTTACTTCTACTTTCTGTACGTCCAAAAATCAATTTAGGGGGATCAGCTACAGTTCACAGTTCCCCTAAGCTGTTGCACAAGCAATGAAGACACTGGATCATTAGGATCACGGTGTCTGCTAATTCCCTGTAGGAACCACATGTGGGCCAACTGGAATTTTACTCCTGGGGCCCATGAATAGTTTCTGTCTCCAGTGCCCCAGGAAAATACAGCCACTGCCTGGATTGTGTTCATCAGGTATGGGCCTCAAAGAGGGATGCTGGCTGCACTGTAGGACTATCAAAGGGGGAATATTTACACAGAGTGGAACACACCAAGAGAAAATGTGGGGAAAACAGCGAGATGCCTTTACATTCCTCCTCCTGATATTTTTTATGCCTTTCCTGTGCCTCAAATCTGTGACCATGAGTACTTTTAAATCTCAGATTGAGGGAGCATCCCTTGACTCCATGCACATGATAGGAGTGAGCCTGGGAGCACACATCTCCGGCTTTGTGGGACAGATGTTTGGCGGCGCACTTGGAAGAATCACGGGTGAGCCTTCCCCCGTCAGTCCTTTGGCCTCAAGGCCAGCACAGCACGAGGCAGTGCCACCCACAGGGCTTTGTATTGCAGGCCTGGACCCAGCGGGGCCCTTGTACCGGGGAACCCCCCCCAGTGAGAGGCTGGACCCCACCGACGCACAGTTTGTCGACGTCATTCATTCCGACACCGACGGTACGTGACATTCCAGCTCTGCAGCTCCACGAGGAAACCCAGGGACTGATGGAGCATGGGAAAGCAGTGGTGTGGTGGGCAGCAGTGCCAGGACCTTTGCTCCTTTGGCCCAGGACAGCAGACTCCTTCACTGGTGCTGGGAAGGACTCTGGGGTGCTCTGTTGCCCACACTGTCCTCAGCACTCCCTCGGGAGCTGCTGGTTTCTTTACACTTCAAAACTTGCTGCTGGATTACAGCAGTTACAGCCTGGTGGCCCATGAATTGCAAGGACCTGGGCCCCGTGTGGGAGCTCCTGCAGCACACAGTCCTGCCAGAGCAGTTCCACACTAACGTCCCACCCCAGGCTCAGGCTGCATCCCAGCACACGGCATCTCTAAAGCTGGTCCCACAGCTCAGTGCCTTGCACAGCAGATCAGTTATCCCCAACCCATGGCTCCCTGCATGATGTTTCCAGTCTCCATCCCACCTCCTCTGAGCTAAACCTTCCTCTAGGGTGAATCTGGACTCTCCCTCAGCCCTATCCTTTCCCAGATCCACCAGCCAGGCCAGCCATGTGATGCCAGCCCTCCGCTCTGCTCCCATGGGCAGCCTACCCCTTGCACCTGGCTTTCCCACCTCATTGCTTCTCCCACCCTTCCAAGAAGTCAAACTCAGCACCACAGCAACACCCAGGTTTCACATCCCTTTTCCTCTCCTGCACACAGTGACACAAAAACCTAAATTTTGCACTGTTGCACACACAGGTATTTGATACCATCACTAAAATGACCCAGCTGGGTCACAACTGCCTGGCCTGCTCCCTAAACAGATGGATGGCATTAATATTCCTGCCCTAATATTTATTCCCTTTTATCAGGACTAGGTTACAGAGAAGCACTAGGCCACATCGACTTCTACCCCAACGGCGGGACCGACCAGCCGGGCTGTCCACTGACAATATTTTCTGGTAATTAATCTTGCCTTGAGCTGCACAAATCCTGACAAAATGTTTCCATTTTCTCCTCAGAAAAGGAGGAGGAAGCCAGAGAAACATCATCACTGCTTAGAAAAGACATGAAACCCATATTCTGGGAAAGCCACAGCAGCAACCTCTTCCCAGCACTGATGTGACAGAGGTTTAGCTCATGTGCGTGAGAGTCGGGGTGACCTTTCTGTGCCCCTGTCACAGTGCAAGTGGGATTAATTCTCTGTGCAAAAAGCCATCAGGTAGATTTGTGCCTTTGTTTTGTGACTGCATTCAGAAAACCCGTGGGATTTTTTGTTTTCAGTTACTATGAACACACAAAAGCAGTGGCAAGAACCTGTCCAGAAAATGGGTTCAAGATGAATGTGGAGCAGGCAGTTAGACCAAATCTTGCACCTTCCTTGGCAGTGACTAACAGTGCAGTCTGGAGGGTAAAGGCCTAGTCTTGAATCAAAGAAAGCTTTTTTTCCTTTCAGCCTGGCATCTGAACTGGTTTGATGAAAGCTGGGTGAAAAAGATACCTCACAGAAGAAAAGGCAGCTTTGTGAACTCAACCCTTATCATACCTGAGAGAATCTACACAGGAAAACAGCCTGAACCAAAAATCCCTAGGATATGAGGCTTCACTCACTTTGCTCCTCATGCAACAAGGCATTTTATTAGTTTGGGCTTTCTAAAGAGTTTTTTTACACCAAAATGGAAGGTCATGTGCAAAACTAAAAGCAATATCCAGCTGTCAGGCCTGAGCTCAGAGAGGAAAACACCTGACATGGAACTGGATTCATATTTGGATCCTCTGGAACTGCAGTAGCCATACAAACAAATATGTTTTTAAAACCAAAAAGACAAGAAGAAAAGCAAGCCAGACACAGGCAGAGCTGAGTGCAGTCAAAGGGGAAGGCTGGTGCCCACTTACTGTTTTGCCACAGCCCAGTGCTCCCCAGTGCAATCCCCTGGGTCCAGACTGGTCAGGGACTGTCCACAGCTGTGTCCTGTGGGCATTAATCCTGTTTCCCTGATGAGTGAGGGTTCCTAACAAAATATTTCTTCCCTGTGTATGATTAAGGATTGCAGTATTTTAAATGTGACCACCAGAGGTCTGTTTTCCTGTTCCTGTCCTCCCTGACACGGAGCTGCAACATCACAGCGTATCCCTGCGACTCGTACAGGAATTACAGGAACGGCAAATGTACCAGCTGTGAAACCTTCTGGCCTATGCCATGCCCCATCCTAGGTAAGGATCCAGGGAATGTCAGACCATCCTGAACACAGAGCTTCCTGTCATCGCTGTAGCTTGTTGTGTGATGTTTCGCTAAAGGACCAACACAGCACAGTGCTTTGCAAAATCATCGAAGTTATTTCCACTGAGGTTTTTGAGGCCTCCCCTCGGCTTCAAAGAGGTCTGAGAAACCTCCCTGTTCTTTGTACCATCACATCACATTGTGATCTAGAACAAAATTCACAGGTAAAGGATCCAGAACTAGGAAAGCCAAAACAAGACTTGGGATCTTTACACTACAGTCACGGAAACAATGAATTAAAGTCCTATAGTTGTAGGGTTAGAGAGAGGGGGGCATGTTCTTGCTAAAACAGTATTTTCTAGTAAATTCCCAGCACCACAAACCTCTCTGTTCTCTAAAAGCAATGGCAGAGGGGTGAACAAAGGGGATTCTGGACCCACAGAGGCATCCCAGCCTGGGTGTGACAGCCCAGCATCAGGCTGCCAGCTCTGGAAGGTTGATGCTAAAACACCTGACACTTCCAGAAAGGAAGTGGCAAAGCCAAGGGGATGATTTGCATTCTGCACTGAATGAAATCCTCCTTGACCATGGATAGCAGGTGTGGAAGAAGATCAGCCTTGAAGTACGTGCTGAACAGTGGCCAGGCATATTTAGTCCTAAATCTGCAGAGTACAGGAGCTTGTGTCACACTGAGACCTGGCAGCCGGCAAACAATACACTATTTCTTAAACACTTGCTTATTTTCAGCCATTTAGTTGCTCATCTACCTGTGCAGTAGCTGTGTTTCATTTTCAAACTGTCACCTGCAGGTTATTATGCCCATGAGTGGAAAAGCTATTTAACACAACAGAGCCATCCAGTGACAAGGATGTTTTTCGATACAGGGGACAAAGAGCCATTTTGCAGTAAGTGACTGAGATTTCCGAGACGATTTGTCTTTTTGCATTGCCTCCTTCAGCAGCAGCTGAGCAGAGATGGTTTGGTCATAGCCAGCATTTTAGAAACAATGCCAGTGGCTGCTGGTCAGAACTGTGTCCAGCTGCAGTTTGCCATGACATTCCTTATCTGCAATCCTGCCCGGTGCTGTGAAAGCCAACTTGCTTACAGTGTTAGGAAACTGGTTGAGAACTTGCAAATTAAATATAAAAGTTCCCAAACCGAGTTTCAAAGCAACACACCATTCTTTTGTGAAAGGAAGAGGTGTGTGGGAATGGTGGGAGACAAAGAGAGGCTGTGCAGGTGAAAAAGCTACCCCTGGAGAAAAGCAAGAGGTAGAGGGAAAGGGGGAGAATTAATGGAAAAAAGGGTGTCACCGAGGTTTCTCCTCCTCCCTGTGATCACCAAAATAGCAAGGCATGGGCAGGGATTATGGCCTGAGCTCCAGAGCTGGTCAGCAAGTGAATTCAGACTTACAGATCAAAGAATTGTGCTCCATGATAGGGATTACAAATGACAGATGCTGAGAACAAAAATGGAGGGGTTCCAAATGGGACAGGAGAAAGAAAAGAAAAGGAAAGGCAATCTGGAAGTGAAGGGGGAAGGCAGGGTGTTAAAGGGGGTGTGCTTAGAGTCATACAGAGAGGCCATCTTGCATGGATAACCCTTTCTGTAGTGCTTTCCTGACACCTCTTCGTGTTTCTGTTAAAAAAATCTCTGCTAGGAGGGATGGAGAGCAGGGAGGAGAAAGGGATTTTGGAGAGAAATTTGAAGGGGTTATGTCCATCCTTCACCTGCAGCTCCACTCCCAGACAGGTACACAGTGGCTCAACAGCAGAGTGAGCCTGCCAGATCTAACCACACTTGTTCTCTCCCTCCCCTCAGTTTATCACTACTTTGTGGATATTATCACGTGGAACAAAGACACCAGGAGAGGTACGTTCAGCATCGTACTGGCTGATGAGACTGGGAAGAAGGCAGAATCCAATGTTAATCCGTAAGTCTTACTGATCTGATAATGTGTCAATGCCAAAGAATCACTTGGCACAACTGCAGCTGGGAGGAGGCAAGACATCCTCCTCCATATCCCTGCTGATACCTGCCAGTGCACATGCCTATGGGATTTCCCAGCCCGATGGAATTTCCACAGCCTCCCCCAGCACACACCACCTGACAGCCCAGCGCTGTGATTTGGGCCCTTCTCATTCCTTTTAAGGACTGAAGTGGACAATCCCAGCCAGAGGCACAGCTGCCCCTAGGTTTCCACTAAGGCAGAAGGAAAAGCATCATCTCCCCCTCTTTCAATCCCCTCCCAGGAGTGTTCTGCTCCAGCTCCCAGTGCCCAAGAGAGCTGGGATGAACCTGGGCCTGAATATCTCACATCCAAATCAACTCGTTCTGTTCAGAGAGGCAAATTAATGACTGGTGTTTATAGAACATGCAAATTCTTGATTGATCTAAACACACTTCAGCCAAACAATCCTGCTCAACTAGTTTTCCCAAGTATCTCTGACTGCATATTCCCTCAGCCATATCTGGGATCTGCTTGCAGTGGAGCAATCTGCATTGCTCTTGCACCAAGAGCAGTGCAGATTTCATGCCTGTCTCGAAGTGACTCAGTGTTCAGGTCTGCACAGCCAGCCAGGTACAAACATCACTTGGATCCAGTCCACTGGGGATCAAAGCAGAATCACGGAGAGGATTCTGGTTTGGGACAAACAATATCAGACCTCTGCGTCCCCACTCCCACCCCAAAGAGCTGAGTGCCAAAGTGGCTGAGCAGGTTCACACCTGGGGGCCTGAATCCACACCCACCTTCTGTAAATCAGAAACCAATCACTAATTGTGCCCTCCTCCCCCAGCTCTGCTGCTAATGTTACACTGAATACATTAAACTTGCTGCTATTCCCTTGGGGATTGACACTCTGTCTGCTTTACCTTCAGAGAAGCTGCCACCTTCCAGCAGTACAACCAAATTACTTTGCTCCCGGGATTCGACCAGGATCTTGAAAACGTAGAGAAAATTTCCTTGACATTTTCCACAGGATCTGTCATTGGCCCAAAATTCAAACTCAGGATTCTCCAAATGAGGTTCCAGTCACTCACAAACCCAGAAAGGTGAGCAGAGCTCTACAAACAAACCATTTCTATTGTTGTAGACTGGACAGAAGCAAATGAATCTCCCAGACTGCTGGCCTGGCTGAGTTTGTGCAAAAGAATTAGATTTGATTTCACATTTAATAATTCTCATGCACATATCATGGGAATAGAATCCCACAGCTGAATACCTGCTTGAATACAGAGGCTGTCTTATCATACTGAAAACATGCCACTGGTGACGTGACTCTGATGTGGTCTGACATCCTGACCTTTGGTCAGGAAAATGACCTTTGAGAAGCTGCCCAGGCCTGAACTCCAGGCTGAAGGGAAATGCAGCTCTCAGGGAAGCAGAGATGCCCAGCCCCAAATGCACATTTTATATCCCAGTCAATTTCTATGGGCAGTCAAGCAGGGAGATTATTTTACTCCTGGAATTCCAGCGACTGGGAGCTGCTGGCCACTCTGCCCAAAGCCCTGACTGCTGCCCACAACACCATGAGGTACCTCCCAGAGCACTGCTGGTGATATTTCTCCAGCTGCTTCAGTCACCTCTTTAGCCTCTGTCTGCTCTGCAGTCCTACCCCTAAGCTTCCCTGATTCCTAGGGCACCTTTGGAGGATGGAATCTCTGCCTGAGCTCAGCAGGCACAGAATCTCTTAGGCTGACTTTGTGTGCAGAAACACCACGTGGACATCGAGCCAGGCCATGCTTTAAGTTTGGGTTAAAACAAGGGCTGCATATCACAGAGCGAGGAGGGTGAAGCAAAAATATTCAGGACTTTTAAACACATTAAGTAATCAGTCACTGCCAGGGGAGGGATGCCCTTCCCTCCCTCCTCCCCTCTTCCAGGGCTAATGCTCATGTTTTCCCAGTGAAAGCTTAAGTATTTCCTCCAGTTTTTGGCTGGACTAGCTCCAGGCCAGATCAATGCCTGGTCCCAGCTCAGAGCAGCAGCAGAATTCCTCATGCTGGGAGCAGCAAAGCAGCAGGACCAGGCAGGTGAGCTGGAAGGACCACCTTTTTCAGTGGACACAGAGGTGTGGACTGGTTTAATGGGAACCATGGATCTGCAGGCAATGCCTGTTTGCTGGGGCTTTTTGCATTCTGTTTTTCTCACAAGCAAAAGATCAAGTAGAACAGAAGAGAAAAACGCTCAAGGTATCCCTGGCCTTGGTAAGGCTTAAAGACCACCTCACTCATTTTAGGTGGACTCGGAGCTAACTCTCCTGAGAACACGAGTTATTTTACATATGCCCCCAGCACATGGCGAGACTCAACTGGAGGATGACAGAGAAAAAAACCCCTTTTTTCACTTTTGGCCCGTGTTTTCACACAGACCCCAGCTGTGCCGATACGACCTAGTGCTGACGGAGAACACTCAGAGAACCTTCAAGCCCATCCCGTGCTGAAGCCGAGACCCGAGGACGCCGTGTCTGGGCAGGGCAGGGACATTTCACAGCCGTGTGGGGACTCACCTGGCGCTCCCGGGACATTTCACAGCCGTGTGGGGACTCACCTGGCGCTCCCGGGGCGCCTCCCGTGCGGACCGGGCAGCGGGGCCCGCTCTCCACGCAGGGCGTACAAAGGGGCTGTGGGAGCGACAATAAAACAACGGCAGCGCGTGGGTTTAAAGCGCGTGCTTAAAACGCAGGTTTAAAGCGTGTGTTTAAGGAGCGTATCCGCGCTGAACCGCTTTTGAACCCTGAGGGGCGCAGGGTCCCTCCGAGCCCTCGCGCGTCCCCTCAGGGGCAGCCCCGCCCGCCATCCCGCCCTCAGGGCGGCCCCGCCCCGCGCCTGCGCGCCCGTCTCGGGGCTCTGAGGGCCGGCAGGGCCGGGCCAGAGCGGCGGCAGCGGCGCTCCGACCCGGGATTGCGGCGCCCGGCCGGGCCCTTCGTCTCTTCGCCGCCCGGGCGCGCTGTGGCTGCGTCGGCGGCTGAGCGCGGCAGACGCGCAGGGGTGCGGGGGCCGGGCTGCCCGTGTGTCCCTCTGTCCGCCGGGGCTGCCCCTGCGCCTCCTGTCTCTCCTTACCCTCCCCGCCACCGCCCGTGTCTCTCCCCCCTCAGGGCGCTGCGGTTCCCGGCGGACCTGGAGGAGCTGCGGGATCTGGCCGAGGCGCTGCGGGACTACGAGCGGCAGCACCGGGGCGCGGCGCTGGCGCTGTTCTGCGGCGCTTACCTGTACAAGCAGAGCTTCGCCATCCCTGGCTCCAGCCTCCTGGTACGGGCACGGGGGGCAAAGGGCGAGGCCGGCGAGCCACGGCTCGGTCAGGAGGGGCCAGAGGGACCGGCCCGGCCCTGCAGCCGGGGAGGAATAACCCCCTGTACCAGCACAGCTTGGGGGCTGCCCTGGCGGAGAGCAGCTCTGCGGGGAAGGACCTGGGAGTGTTGGTGGGTGACACGTTGGCTGTGAGCCGGCAGCCTGCCCTGGGGGCCAGGAGGGACAGTGGGATCCCGGGGGGCATCGGAAAGAGTATAGCTAGCAGGTCAGGGAGGTCATCCTGACCCTCTGCTCAGCCCTAGTGAGGCACATCTGGAGTGCTGTGTCCTGTCTGGGCTCCTCAGGTCAAGAGAGACATGGAGCTACTAGAGAGGGTCCAGTGGAGGCCACAAAGATGATGAGGGGTCTGGAGCATCTCTCTTTTGAGTGGAAACTGCGGGAGCTGGGCCTGTTTAGTCTGGAGAAGACTGAGAGGGGATCTCATTAATCCATATAAATATCTCCAAGGTGGGTGCCAAGAGGACAGTGCCAGGCTCTTTTCAGTGGTGCCCAGTGACGGGACAAGGAGCAAGGGCCACAAACTAAAACATAAGAAGTTCCACCTCAGCATGAGGCAGGAGGATGGCAGAGCACTGGAACAGCTGCCCAGGGAGGGCACAGAGTCTCCCCCTCTGGAGACATTGCAAACCCACCTGGACACGTTCCTGTGTCACCTGCTCCAGGTGACCCTGCCTTGGCAGAGGGGGTTGGACTGGATGATCTCCAAGGGTCCCTTCCAACCCTGACTATTCTGTGACACACTGTGTCCCCTGGGCCTCACTCCCTGTTGTCCCCACAGAATGTCCTGGCAGGAGCTCTCTTCGGGCCATGGATGGGGCTGGTGCTGTGCTCGGTGCTCACGTCGGTGGGAGCCACCCTGTGCTACCTGCTCTCTGCTGCCTTCGGCAAGCAGCTCGTCGTCCACTACTTCCCTGAGAAAGTGGCTCTGCTGCAAGGGAAGGTAAGAACTGGTGCTTCTGCAGACACCCAGGATGTCCATGGGTCAGGCTGCTTTTGGGATGGCTTAGTAAAAATGAATGTGTGCAGGGGACACATCAGGTCTGCTAAGGGCACAGTCTAGGAGCAGGCTGCTCTCTTGGGGCAAGCCTGTTTGCAGAGGGGCTGTGGGGAAAATCCCAGATCCCAAGGAAAATCAGAAGTAAGACAAGGATTGATTGGGAAGTCCCTGTTCTCCAGAACCGCCTCCATCCATCCTTTGCTGAGTTGTACAGCTGGAGGTGGTTCTGCTGTTGCCTTCCTGATCTCTAATTCAGGTGAGATCCCACTTCCATCACTTCCTTGGGACAGGCTGGCTCACCCTTACGCTCCCACACACACATAACGTTGCTGCTTTTCATCAGTTCTGGACTGATGTTGTGGCAGAAGCATCGTGGCCTTTCCAGTGTTACTGCTGTCTGAGGAGCAGAAATAATGTGGACCGTTTCTCTTGGCAGGTAGAAGAGAACAGGAGCTGCTTATTTTTCTTCTTGTTGTTCCTGAGGCTGTTCCCCATGACACCAAACTGGTTTCTGAACCTCTCGGCTCCCATTTTAAACATCCCCGTGTCCCAGTTCTTCTTGTCCGTCCTCATCGGTAAGGCCTGGGGACACAGTCCGAGGGGACAGTGTGACACTGCTGCTCGTCATTGCTGAGCCCAGGGAAGGCAGAGCAGCAGGACTCTGCCCCATTTAACTGTTTGCCTCTGCGCTGCCCTGAGGTCTCAGAGCATTTTGCAAATATGTGTGTCCCCCCATGCTGCAAATCTTATTTACACCCTGTTCTTTCTAAGCACAGACCCTTGTGTCTGTGTAAGGGCCATAAACTAAACCACAGCAAGTTCCACCTCAACATGAGGAAGAACTTCTTTCTGTGGAGGGTGGCAGAGCACTGGAATAGGGTGTTCAGGCAGGGTGTGGAGTCTCCCTCCCTGGAGACATTCCAAACCCACCTAGAGGCGTTCCAGTGTCACCTGCTTGAGGTGACCCTGCCTTGGCAGGGGGAGGTTAGACTGGATGATCTCCAGAAGTCCCTTCCAACCCTAACCATTCTGTGATTTTGTGTGTAGCCTTGGGCATATTTGAGCTAATTTTCCCTGGGGGGATGCTAACAGCTTTTTTCTGCTCTGATTCTTTCAGGCCTTACACCATATAATTTCATCTGTGTGCAGACAGGGGCCATTCTGTCCCAGATCACCTCTCTGGATGCCATTTTCTCCTGGGACACGCTGCTCAAACTGCTGGCAATGGCCATGGTAGCCCTGGTACCAGGGACCCTCATCAAGAGATACAGCAAGAAGCACTTGAAGCTGGACGGAGACAAGCAAACTCAGACACTCAATGGCAAAAAGAGTTTCTGATGGTTCAGGTGCCCCAGTTTTGGGGTAAAAGCTGCAGGTCTCTGCAGGGGGTTATATTCTGCATGCTCTGTGCCACCAAGGACAGTGGCAGTTTTTAATTGTCCTCCTCATCTCAGAGGAGGTGTAAGATTCTTATTTTTGATGAATGTTTACCTGTGCATGTACCTGCACGGAGAGAGCGATACAGGGACTTTGTGAACAGTTGGTTAATGTGCCTGTTTCGTTTAAATCATCCCCTGTGTGCCTGAGGGGGTGCCCAGCCCACTGCCATGGGGACAAAAGGAGTGTTGGCATCCTGTGAGGAAGGCAAACCAGAACCCCTTAATCCTGCCCAGCACGGGGAGGCCAAGCACTGCCCTGGAGGCAGGAGGCAGGCCCTGCTCCCTCCAACCCCAGACTGATTTAGCATTTTTGGCCTAAAATGACAAATGGTGCTGTTGGGTGCAGTAGCACAAGCCCCAAGCTGAGAAAATAATGGTGTTTCAAGGTGCAGCTGTTGAAGACTCTTCTTTGATTCCAATGTTAAACCAGCACACCCTGCAGCAAAATGCTCAGGATTTGGGCTGCCTGTGTGTACCAGTCGTGTCAGAACACACAAGATTGCTTCCCCAGTCTGTCAGTGGCTGCTACTCCCCATAAAGACTAAAGGGGAAAAGAAAAGGAATGGATGTGCCTGGCTGACAGGGATTTGTCCCTGAGAAGCACTTTGAAACCTACATATTTGCTCCTGTATAACTAGAAGGTTTCCAAATAAACAAGTAGGTTCTTGTCCCAGTTGCTGGAGAACATAGAATCCAGGATGGTGTGGGTTGGAGGGGATCATAAAGATCATCTCATTCCACGTCCTGCCATGGGCAGGGACACCTTCCACTAGCCCAGGTTGCTCCAAGCCCTGTCCAACCTGGTCTTGGACACTTCCAGGGATGGGGCAGCCACAGCTTCTCTGGGCAACCTGTGCCAGGCCCTCTTCCCCCAGGGATTATACTCTGGTCTTGGGGTTTTGGTATTTGCACCTCCTTGCTCTCCCTGAGTTTGCCCTCCTCTTGGAGGATAAAGTAACCTTCCTGCCATGGAAGGGGGCAGATAAGAGACCCCAGAGCAAGGCTTCATGACATTATCCCAAAGACCATAAGAACCCCTTCCCAGATCACCAGACCAGCCTGCAGCATTGAAGTACACTGGCTTTTTATTCCATGCATTGTTTGCTTTGATAGTCATTCTTGTTTCCATCACTGTACACTGGTCAATACAAAAAAAATCAAGTTTGTCTCAGGAATCCACAGAGCAGGGAGGAGGGGATGAACACTACTGGACAGGGCCAAGATGAAATGGGTACTTAACACGACAGTGGGGAGGGCAACATTCAGCTCTGGGAGAAAATCTAGGCTAGTGTTCAGGAGCTGTCAGCAGCCATGAGAACTGGGTCAGGGAACTTGGGGTGCTGGAAAGGGAACCCACGGGTTACTCCTGCCCTGCGAGCGCGGTGTTACTACGAGGAGGAAGCAGGCCCACTACACCTCCCAGACCCTGCTGGGAGGGAAAGTGTGAGGAACCGCAGCACAGGCGCCCGTACAGTGACGTGGAGGTCACAGGTCACGTCTGTGCCATTCCAGGGAGGTTCCACCACCCCGGGAATGTGGGCGGTGCTGAGCCAGCCCTGCCCGCACACAGCTGAGCACACGAGATGTGTGTGCAGGGCAAGGCTGGGGTGGCACCTCCACGGGCTGGGGCAAGGGGGGCTGCCCTAGTGGCATTTCCAGAGGGATGCTGCATTGGAGGCAGCAGGTAGGAGGAGTGACACTGGACCATAAAAGTGCAATGACCTGGGTGTGTGAGGGAACTAGAGCTAAATGTGGCAGCCTGGAGGGTTCAGCTCTGCTTGCCCAGGCTGCAGAACAGGCCAGCACATCCCCAGGTAAGGACGGGGAGGGATCAGCACACACCCGGGACAGCTGGTCCATAAGGGTCCAAAAATCCCACACCCCAAAGCTTCTCTGCGAGCCCAGAGGAGCTGCATCCCATGGTGGAACCTAAGCAGAGACCACAGGTACCCAAACCTCTCTAGGATCTGTTTGACTGGGACTGAATCGTCACAGGCTGGAGGCCCTGCAGAGACTGACAGGCCTGAGCAGGAGGCAGCTCTGCTTTGGGGCTGTTGTGTGGGGCTGCCCAAGGACACCGGGCTCAGGGAGCCTGCCAGCTCTGAGCAGAGTCTCCCCAGGGGCACAGGCCTTCCATCCTCTGCTGGGGGACACCCAATGGCAGTTCTCAACCTCTGTTTACACCACAGTATGTTACGTGCACATAGTTCTCCCACTGCTAAATTCCCACACCTTGGCCTCCAGCCTCCTGAGTAACCATCTGCACCACCTCTGCCACACCAAATCCCTCTCACACCAATCACCTCACAACAAAGCCATCTCTGGCCCTGCCACCTCCTCCTGCTGCTGGCCAAGAGACAGAGAACGTCTGGGAGGAGAAACGAGGGATGGGAAGGGAGAGGAAACAAGAAAGGAGCCAGGAAAGAGCTTCACTCCCCAGGGCATTGTGCCTCTACCCAGAGCCAGCCCTGCTGCTGAGGGCAGGGTGAGCACGTCGCTCCCTCTGCAGCAGCCTGTTTGGTCCTGCCAGGGTGATCCACCATGTGGATCCACTGCTGGCCACCCTGATCTTGCACCTGCTGCCTGGAGCAATGTCCTTTGGGATGCTCTTGCCAGGGGATCCCGTCACAGTTACTCATTTTGTGGTCAGTTCAAAAGCCACTCGCTCCCTGATCACCATCCCCTCCAGTTCAGGGGCTGACAACTACCAGCAACGTGAGCAAAGTGCCCACGAGGAACCTCACGCAGGGCTGACCGCAGCCATCCATCCCTCTCTGTGCCCTCTCCTGGAGTAACAGCATCCCTGGAAATCACGAGAGGCAGCAATTCCTGACAGCCACTGAGCCCAGCTCTGCTCCCGCCCCCTCGGTGACCAGGGAGAAGGTAACATCACACAAACAGATTACAATTGTGCTAGCGGTGAAGCCAACCTTCTGATCTACAGAAATGATAATAAATAATAAAATAACATCATAACTTAAGATCTGTCTGTAGTCCAGCTACAAAAATTTAAAAATATGGGATAATTTAACTCATACAATACTGCTCTCTGTATAGGTAAGACATTTTCCTTCACTTTGCCATGAGGCTATAAATTACCACAGTTAAATTCAAACCAATATTTTAACATAAAATGTAAACAAACAAAGCAACAGAAGTACCTGTCCATGGTCCATTCCTGCCGTTCACCTCAGGCTGGCCGTGCCAGCACGCTGGGAAGGGCAGAGGGAAAGCTCTTGCAGGGGGACATCAACTAAGGAAGGGGGGGGGGAACGTGCTCTATCGTTTTGTTCTCTTTCAACATTGTTTTAGAAGAGTAGTGTTTGAAGGGAAGGCACTATGAGTTCTATCAGAAAACAAATTTTTCTCATCTGCCAATGCCTCGGCCTGTCACATACCAGTACTATCCTCACTTTCACCTGCAGAGTTTCAGCTTGGAGGAGAAACAGAGGCCTCGGGGCACACCCGAGACACAGCTGTGCCACAGCCACTGTCACATTCCCTGTGCAACCTGTTTTGCACAAAGCCTGACGTGAAGGGCAGGCAGCTGCTAATGCTTCCAAGAATGTACAGTGAATAAGGAGACAGAGCAGGGCTGATGCTCTGAGCCAGGCCAGTGATTCCCAGTCTTCCCCCTCAACACACAGCTCTCTGCTGGTTATCAATGCTGCTGTAGGTGAGAGGCTGCTTCTCCCAGTCCAGTCCAGGCGTCTCCAGTGTCCTCCCCAGAAGGGCTCAGGCTCTGAGAAATGTGCTTTCCACGCTTTTCAAGTCCTTGCTTTGCCAACACTGATTGGATTGATTTCTTTGACTGACTGAAACAGACAGGAGGTAAGAGGAGGAAGTAAACTGGGAAATGGCACACTGCATCTGAAAGAGGTTTCCCTGCTCAACTGGAGGTCGACACTGCCACAGTGAAGCAAGGACGGTGTTAAGAAGTGCTCTGATACCAGTTCTCGAGAGGATGAGGTTAGAGTACATTTGCAGGATCTCACAACAAAATGCTGATTAAAAAAAGAAACTAAAAATCCTTAAAATAAAACCCACTATTACATTCCTGGGGATGTATTGACTCAGAAGACCCTGGATGTTAGCACCTCAGTACCAGTTTGCTCCAGGAACATGTCCTCCTTCTGATTAAAAATGACCCAGCTGGTTATACTGAAAATGCTTTGTTCACAGGTCACCCTACAGTCGGGTCGTTTTCTGCTTTTCCTCTTTTGATAAGACTGAGTGGTTTAGTTTTCTTGATCTGTTCTCCAATCTTCAGGGCCATGAGGCCTGGTCCCCTGTGCAAGCAGCAAGAGAATCCCCTGCATCTGTACACAAAGCTGTCCAGGCAGGACTCCCAGGATGTTTCTCTGTAGTGTGCTTGCTTTCTGAACTTTTTTTTTTTTTTGCAACAAGTCTGTATGTCTATAAATACAATCCACTCTTTACAGTAAAAAGTGTTAAAATGTCAAAAAAATAAATATCCATGTTACAGTAACTAGATTATTCAATAAAATACATCCCTGCCATTCTTGATTGAAATGCTCAAAGAGAATTAATTTCATTTGGACATTTTCCAGAGATTCGGGTTATTGCAAATCACTCCTGGGGTGGGAAGGAGAAGCATCTTCTCTTCCTGTAAAGTGTGATGAAGGGGAATGAAGTGGAATCTCAGGGAAATCAAAATGCCAGTATCAGGAAGCTTTGGGGGAGATCTGTATTACCAAGTAGCAGAGCTGCAGGGCTTATTGGTCCTGACCGTGGCATCAGAACACTCCCCTTCAGAAGAGTCACAGTCTGATTCTCCAAACTGTGGTGGGTTCTGCAAAGCAAAAGGAAAGGGGGAGACTTGAGCAACAGTCCTGTACTGCACATCACCCACAGCACCCCAGTGTGAAAGAGCAGCCAGGCAAAGGAGGAGACTGGCACACAGGAGATGGCACAGCACACAACTGCCCTACCAAAGGTCACTTGTCTGTCCTCAACGAGGGGACAGCAGAGAAACACCTGGGCAGAGCACTACCAAACACAGAGTTAGGAGGAGATGGTGCAGCAGGCTCTGCCCTACCCCTCCCAAACACTTCAAACACAGTAAAAGAAAGAAAATCATTCCAGCTTTATCAGCAAGGCTGCTGATGGATACGTTCGAGGCAGTTTATACCCATTCCATTTCATTATCTATTTTTATCCCACTTAATGCAACTGCAAATCTCATGGCCTCTCAAAATCACAGTCATCCTGACCAGTACATTATGTTCAGCTTTGTTTGTGTGACTTTTCCCCACCTACTCATCTGCCAAGTATGAGGGAGATCGGGTACTGAAGCAATTGCTTTGCCATAGTACACCTACCACAGCATCTCCTAGGCAGTGTTCCAACTTTCTGGCCCTTGGATCCTTTCCATAACATTTTTTTAGGGTTTTTTTCCGCTTAGCAGAAGGGAGAGGGGATAAGAAACCTACAACTCACCTCACAGCTGTGTTCATCTGCACAAAGCTTGCCCAGAGACATCTGAGTCTTGACTCTCCGCACGGCGCACTCTTTGTCCGAAAGCCCATCCGACTGCGTGGAGATTTCAATGGGGATCTCTGGAGTTTGGGACAACATGTCCTCCAGCTTCTCAGCCAGCTCATCTTCCAGCTTGGTGCCGAGCTCATCCGGGCTGTTGGAGTGGTCGCTTGTGTTCCCCTCCTCTCCATCGGACACGGAGAAGTTCTCGGAGCTGAAGGTCGAGTAGGACTGGCAGCTACTGATGCAGCGATGGGGTCTGCAGAGGGGAGAGAGGTTCAGTGTCCAGCTTGGATCACACTGCCTCTGCCCTCAGGGAATCTCCTGGGTGCTCTGTTCAGCTGCTCTGCCACACCAAGCCTTGGCAGACCCCTCTCCTGGTGGGCTGCCTTTCATATCCTGGAGTTACAGAATTCTACCTCTTTTGAATGATTTACTTCAAAACCCTCATCTTCAAATTCATCTGTTCTTATTTGGTCCTGTCTGGTACACGTCCATAATAGCTGATCTGCCCTGGAGCATATTTGCCTTTCTCAGTGCTTTTTCCTAAAGGAATGCTGTACTGTGGAGTTCAAGATAACCCACCTGGGAACACCTGCACTGCCTGGCAGCGATCCCAACAGCCAGGCAGGATTTAGGTACGTGCACTCAAAAAATAGGTTCATAGCTACTTGACTGTGGAAGTGGCCTCGTGCCAGGATTCAACAGCAATGGTACAACCCATCAGTTGACTGAACATGCCAGGAGACCCACAGCTGGTCATCATATGGAACAGGCAATTTGTTCTCCTTCCAATCTCCCAAGCCAGTAAATCACAGAGGAAGCAACACTCACACAGGAACTCTGTGAGTCAGATAACTCATCCAGCCCAGAGTTCTGCCTCCAGCCCCAGGTAGAAAGGAATAACCTGGGAAAAGTATGAGAACAGGGTGTGCAGGCAGAGCCTGCTTTCTCCTGGCATCTCCTCCTAGTTTGTACCATTCAGCAAATCCAATTCCTAAGTCAAAGCTCAAACCTGGATGACAGTGCTCAGCCTCTGATGGATCTGTGCTCCAGAAATTCAACACTTACGGCTCTTCATGGTTCAATTTCCACAGCACACCTTGACAATGAGCTCCACATCTGAAAATGTTCTGGATGGGAAAAGCACTTCCTTTTGTTCATTTTAAACCTCTGCTTCACTGGCTGTCCCTAACATGAATGTAAGGAATCGTTCCTTGTCTATTTTCTCCACATAAACTACAATTTCATGCACTTCCAGTTTTGCCTCTCCTCCTGCTAGACAAACACTTCTCATGGATTTAATCTCTTCTTCTATGGAAACCATCCCTAACCACTCTTGTCACGCTTTTCAGTACCTTTCCAAACTTTACCATGGTCTTTGAGCTGGGGAATGAAGGATTTAAGCAGCAGGCGTGCTGTGGATGTGTACAACAGCAGACCAGCTTTTATTTTCTTCTTTTCTCCTGCAAAACAAACCTGTAATCTATTTGCCCACTGGATCACTCCTGCACTTCAAGCAGCTGCTTTCATAAAACCACAGCAGCATTTCCATGATGTCTCTTCTAAGCACAGGACTGTAAAGCCTGTTGTTACCCAGGCTTAGGTAGTAACACTCCCTTAAGTCTTATTTTACAAGCAACGCCATCAAATTTGATCTGCTGTGTTATCACCTGGCTCTTCAATCTTATCTGAATTCAACTACAAAGGTGCTGGAGTCTCCCCCACTGCAGCAACAGTTAATAAACAACAGTGGAAAGAGTCCACAAAAAGCACCAATATCCACTAAATCTCATTCTGGTGAAACGGATGCAGCAGCTACTTTTTATAGGCTGAATAACATTATCTAGCTTGACCAAGTTGTGCTGCAAACAGCCTGCAGCAGGAAAGCTGTGCCAGAGAGAACACCTCAGGACAGGCTGGAGCAGGGAGTAACATGAGGGATCAGCTGAGGGTGGATGGGACCCAGTGGACGGGTCCCACTCTTCTTTTGCCAGCACCTTCCCCAGTTGCAGTGCTGGTGTGCAGCTGCTAGGACAGTTCTCCTCCTGAGTTTTGTCCCACCAAAGAGAGATTAGAGTGAATTCACCTTTTACCTTTGTCTACGAGGAAACTCCACTTCACTGTCTACTTCACCCTCTTCCTCTTCTGATGAGTCGTCACCGCTCTGGCAGAAAACAAGGACAAAAGTGGTGTCACGTTTGTGGAGGCTCAAACGTGGTTGACCCTTGGTCCTCCAGGACAAAGTCACTGTGCCAACGGGCTGCAACAATCTAGACCAGAAGAAAACAGCCTGTGCACCAGGGAACACTGAGCCAGACCTCGTCCTACCAAGGAGGTTATTTCAGGCAGCTCTAATGCTGCCATTCCCGAATCTGGACTCGGAAATACACTGGAGTACTTCTGCAGGCACGGAGTACATAGTGTTCCAGATTGTTACAGGAGCAAATCAAGTAATTAGTAACATATGGAAACCCACATAAATTATTGAGCTGATCTGGTACTCTTGGCTTTACAACTCCGACTCTCTTCTCCATCGCAGAGCAGGATGGGGGATGACACAGCCTTTGCTCATGAGTTTCACCAATTCTGAGCATAGAGCCTTTTCTCCTCCTTTTCCCACCCACCACACTCTTGTCTTTTAGAGCCTCCTCCTACCCTGCCCATCCTGTCAGCCCCTCATTCATATTCAGCCTCTACCTCATCTTGTTGCCTTGTCATATGAGGTCCCACTACCTTCATTCTGTGCCCAAACCACACTCACGGTCTGGTAAATCATCCTATTTTCCTTCACTTCTCCACTCAGATCTAATTGTCCTGCTCTCTGAACTCCACTCAGACTGGTTCCTACTTTTCCCACCACCTGGATGGAAGCAGGAGGAACAAAGAGCTGTTTCTGTACAACTGTGCCATCAGGTCTTTTTGACTCCTGCAAAATCTTCACAAAACACACGAGAACTATGACTTTCAGTGCAGGGGGACAATTTCTGACAGGTGCAGCAAAAGGCACACCCCTAAGACCATTGTTGAATTCCTGTTCCAAGGAGCAGCAGCCCCACAGATTCTCAAAGAAACTCTCATGTGATATTTAAAGAACGCATTTACCCCTTCCCTTTGAGAAAGGCTTGGAAACATTTTGAGACTGTTTCAACAACAAAAATTCAGCAGAACAAGTTTCACCTCAAACAAAAACTGGTAGAATTGAAATTAACAGAACTAGGCCCTTCCAAAACCTCAAGTGACAACCCTCATCATTGGCAGTATGCTCCAGTATGCCCTACAGCTCCATAAAACTGACTTTAAAAGTATGTCCAGATCACAAAGTGAACTTCGACTATGCATGATTTCTTTGAGATAAAGTTGTACATGCAACTACTACTGCTGTGTGTGTGTGAAACGTGGCTTTGCTGCTGTCCTAGACACCAGCCTGCGCTGCACACCTTCCCCTGGAGGAGAGGGAAAGGAAGAGACCGCTTTGTTTTATTCCAAACGCCAGTGCCTTCGTTCTCACCTTTTGAAGGGATCTCGCTTTGCAAGGCAGCACCGAGGACGCCACGTGCTGGGGAGTGCCCAGGGCGGACGCCGCCGTGCCCTGCTCCTCCAGCTTCTCCATGAACTGCGCGCTCTCGTAGAGGGAAGCAGAAGCCGGGGACTGGGGGCGGCTCCCC